ATACAGTCCGATGTTCTCACTCACAGACAAGGGCTCGCCTTTTCTCTCACTTCGATACGGTGGCAATACACGACAAAAAAATTCCATCTCTGCCGCTGTGACTGGCGGGTAAATGTCACCGGTTGGGTCCATGAGTTCCTCACGCCACTGGTATGTCAATCGTTTGCGTGAGGCAAAGAAGCCCACGACGACCACAGTTGGTATGGTGAGTCCCACAAACCATGTGCCGGCGCCAAGCATTCTCAGTCACTAAGCATGACCAAACAAACAAACAACAACAACAACGAAAAATAAGAGGAACCAAAAGAGGGAAAAAAGAGACGGCACGAGGCGTGACAGAGACCCTCTGTTTACATAGATACATGTGTACATCAATAAATAAATGTAGATGGATGGAAATACCGATACTACAAATGACAAAAACAACAACAACAACAACAACAACAGAAATAAAATAACATAAAAATAAATCCTTTGACGGCACCCATAAGAGCTGTAATAATAAATAAGAAATTTTCCTCCCCATACGTTTCTCCATTTCCCCCCTCTCAAAAAAAAAAAAAAAAAAAAAAAAAAAAAGAAACCAGTCAAGTAAGACATCATTTAAGAAAACCCAAACCAATACGGACATGGGACAATTTCCTTTTTTTTGTTTAAGCCGTTCCCTGTTCATTCATTTGTTCTCGAGACTTTTCCAACATCCTTTCCGTGTTCAGCAACTCAATATAATACCCGTCAGGGTCCACAATAAATGCCATAAAACCATCCTCGCTTTCGTAGTCAATGGGCACGTTCATTTTCTTCAGCCGGGCAATTTCCTCATTGACATCCTCCACACCAATGGCAATGTGCCCATACGCATCTCCGTGTTTGTACTCACTCTGGCCGTAGTTGTAGGTGAGCTCCAGCACTGCCGTCTCACTCTCCGTGCCATAACCAAGAAAGACCAATGTAAACTTGTCCTCTGGGCAGTCCCACTTGCGTAGCAGACGCATACCAAGAGCCTCAGTGTAGAATTTGATGCTGCGGTCCAAATCGCCCACACGAATCATCGTGTGCATAAGTCGTCGTGTTGACATGATTGCCTTCTCCTAGCTTTGTATATTCTTGAATCCCCCTTCGTTTGAAAGCGTTTTTCTCCACACCCTTTTATTTTATTTATTTATTATTATTTTTTATTTTCAATGAGTTGTTTGTGCCCCCTTTTCCTCGAGACGCCGTGCAAGCCAGTAAGAGAAGACACATCCAAAATGACGTCCCCATTCATTAACCACAGGCGGACAGAAGCAACAACAAAAACAAAGACGCATTGTATTCCATCTTTTCCTTTTTTTTTTCCTCGCCCAATCGTGTTTAAAAAGACATGTCGCACACACACACACACACACAAGCGTGCACACAATAATAAAAAAAAACAAACAAAAAAAAACAAGCTTCCCTGTGAAACGACATTTCTAAGACTATCGCGCAGATGTCCTGCTCGTGTACATTGCGTGTTCTTTAATAAAACGAAGACATGTGTTGGACCACTCCATAATTTGCACTCGCGGAGACAAAATAGAATTTTTGCAGCCGTGAATTACCGGACTTAAGAGAACGACGTCACTCACCGAGTAATGATTTGTACTGCCAGTTTTTTCGGTCACAAATCTCATCCGTTTCTCTCGCTCACTGAGGGATGAAATCGAAGGCTGCGATAAAAGAAGTGTTGTAATGCGTTGAAAAAAATTCCAAATGGACCTATCCTGAACCCATGCATCAGAATGTACCATAAGCGTCGGGGTTGTGTACCGGTTGCGACCCTCTTCTATTGGCTTCAAAAACAGTTCGTTCTGCAGAGGTTTATGCCAGGGGTCAAAGACAATAACACTTTGAACGGGGTTTTCATTGGGTTTAGACTCCTGCTCCTCCTGCATGGCAGCAACAAGCGCCGTTGCCCCGCCAAATGAGTGACCAGACAAGTGAACTCGTGGCGATTGGCGAAGGTACTGCTCGGCGTCCAAGTCGGCAAAGCCCAGTTCCTTCCAAAACTCCTTTTCGGAGAGACGCTTGAGTGTTCGTCGTGTTTCCATAACTCGTTGGGCAAGTGCTTCCTCACAGACGGGGGAATCCCAGTCCACTTGCCTGAGAAAAAACTCTTTGCCTCCCCTTTCACTGTCACGCATAAACGAGGCACTTCCGTCGCAATGCCCGACACTCACCACAACTGCCCCACGAGATGCCAGATCAGCCTGCAGAGCACTGTACAAGCGATGATACCCGTACAGACCATGACTGAAGATAATCACGGGAAGTGGAATCCCGCTGCTGTTAATAAGAGGAATTGGCTTCGCACCCTCAGTTGCTCGCAACCGCACAAAGAGAAAATCCCTCATCAAATAAAGAGGGACACCTGCACGAGATGAGAGCCCACTCATGAAACGAACATCATTAAAGGGAATGTACTGGATACCTTTGCGTCGTGGGGTTTCATTAGTGGGGTAGTAGACAGCTAGTGGTGGCATCGTCTGGGAGTGACGGCTGTGTACGTGTACAATGCCAACGTGGTAATGGCCGCCAACGGGCTCAAGAATGGGAACTGGCAACAAAATAAACATGACAGCCGCGCCTATTATTCCCAAGGGAATAATAGGCAGAAAAAACACAGCTCCCAGTCCAAAGATGCGTAGAATCATAGAGAGAGGAAAAAAAGCAAACAACAATATTAGGTGGGGTGATATGACATAGTCCCAAAAAGAATTTGGCGCTCCCGCAAAAAAACCTGCAGTTGCACTCATACCTTTGTTCTTTTGCTGCTTTGTTTTGTTAGTTTACTGTCGTGTTCTTGTGATGTATGGTGGTAAGTATAAAATTTAGAAAGACAAATAACACGTACATTAATGCATTGAATTAATTTGTACACGGCAACATGAAGGATTGGAATTACAAATAAAGAAAGGAAAAAGACAGGCGCAATGAAAGTGCGGCTGTAAGGCAGCGGATCCATCCAACGTAAGTCGAGTGCACGCAGCAATCCCACCCTCGTGACATTGTGGACACACACAAGCACACACAGACGGGAAAACTCAAAAAAAAAAAAAAAAAAAAAAAAAAATATGTAAGTTTTTTTTTATTTTCTCCTTTTATTCGTCATTTCTTCCATTTTTTTTTCCGCGTGGTTGTCTGTCACGTCTTCATTTCCGCCATCTACGCAATTTGCAAGGTCGTCTTTTCCACTCCTCCTCCCTCCTCCTCCTCCTCTCGCATGTTATGATCCCTCTGTGCATCGTAGTACCTCAGTCGCCAACATAGGGATGAGCTTGGACGATTTCTTGGAGGCAAAACGCCGTCGTTTCGTTAGGGGCAACAGGAGTCCCATGTCCATGACAGACATGTGGTCGGTCCCACCGCAGGTCGTACGGAGGCATGAGACACCGGAGGAGGCAAAAAGCCCCTTTAGCTCCTCCACTCGCACAGCGTACACACGGCGCTCAGACCACTCCTCGGAGTCAAAAAGCTGTACCTTGATGTGCGACGGCATGGAGATTGGATCCCCCACAGTACGGTCCAGAAGACTCAGCGGCCACGCATCAAAGGCAACAATGGAATTTATAAACGATAAAATTGCGGTGGCCTTCACAGCAACGGCCAACATCGTCAATGCGCCAAAGCCGTGGCCAATGAGATTGACTTTGGCACCAGAAGAGAGAAATGACTGCAATTCCACTGGCCCAACTTGCAGCTGTCGGAGCATTTCCCCTCGAAAAATGCCTTCGATAACACCAACAACATCTTCAATACGTTTTTCAAGTTGCATCAACATGCCCTCTTGAGTCAGCCCTCGTTCACACGGAAATTCTTCTTCTTCCTCACCCACCGATGAGCCAAGGCTGCTCCTCTCAAAAGAAACATCTATGCCATCTGCATGGAGCACGCTGTACACCAACGCTCCGGATGCAGCCAAAGCCAATGCAAGTCGTGAGTATGCCAAATGATGGGTAGCTAAGGTGTGACTAAAAATAAAAACTTTCCGAGGCCCTCCGTCATGTGTCATTAATGATACGATGCTCGCATTTCGAGTACAGGGAATCCGCACAAGCTTCAAATGACCTAGCCACAGCGAGCGTACCCTGGCCCCCGCCGCCATGGTCTGGATGTAATGGGAATCATTACCAGGAAGCCAAGGTTCCCCTTCAATCGGCTTAATAAACGTTGGGTAGTACACAGCAATCTCTCGCGTGATGTGACGAATGCCAACGTGATGTGTGCCTCCAGACTTCAGCGGTGCAAGAGGAAGAATGTTGAACATTGCAAACGTACACAAAAGGCCTGATATAAAAAACATCAGTGACCAAACGGCATAATTGGGCGCCATGCAGAACACAAGTACAGCAATCAGCATGCCACACTCCAGCGGCAGGAAGTGCAACGACAGCAACCAATCCTTTGCAGTGATCTTCATTTTTTGAGGCAGCCGTCAAGGCCACTTCCCGCAAAAACTAACAAAACGGCGCTCTCCGTTTTGATAAAAAAAAATAAATTAAAAGCTACAATCACAGAAAGAGAGGGCAAAGTCATGAACAGATAAGTCGGAATAAGGCTGGTCCCCGGTCTCCATTACCGCAAAACAACAAGAACAACAGGGATCTCCCGCCTGGGTCAATGCACCTTCCAGCGTTACGCTCCAAAGAGTCAATTGTCCTTAACGCCAATAAACAACCCATTCAAAAGGTACACGTCATGATAACTGGACCCGTTTGGAAAATCATGAGGCGGCAGTCCCTATTTTGCCCATTCGGTCGCGTGTTCTTTTCATATGCCTTGTCAAGAGCAACATCCACCTCCCGCCTCCCGACTTCCACACACACAGAGAGAAACACGCAGCGAAAAAAAAAAAAAAAAAAAAGAAAGAGTCGGGACACACCAAAACCAAGACAAAAAAAAAAAAAAAAAAAAAGACCTGCAATTTTCCTCTTTTGTTTTCGTTTTTATGTTTCTTCTTCCCCTCTAAAGGGGTCTGGTTAGGCAAAAAGACTCACACACATGCAGACACATTCAGGGCGTCGTGAGTAAATAAAAGGGATGCCCGCCATTGTTTTGGCTTTGTACGCCTTGTATCGCTCACCAAAGAATTCCTCACCTTCCAACACAGATTCTTCGTAAGCGATCCGACAACTAAAGAAATGCCACATGACCACGGCATACAAAACAAGACACAACGGGTTTGCCAGCACCAGCTGTGAGCAGAGGGTTCGCCAAAAGAAGCCAAAGTAGGCTGGATGACGCAGTACCGCATAAATTCCATTATCAACAAGAACATGACTTGCCCGCCGCTCTGTCTCAATTAATAACGAGAAATTCCGTCCACAATGCAGCATCCCGACAACGCGCACAAGATAGAACGCAACCGCCATCACAGCAGCCACAGTAACGGTACTATAGTTCAAGCGCAGCAACCATCCAGCAAAGGTTCCTCTGGGCACCTTCCAGCGCTCCGGAACAAGAAGCCACTCTAAAAAGAACTCTATCCATGCCGCGGAGGTGGCCGCCGTGTATTCTCCTGAGTGAGTCAACAAGAAGGTATCAGGGTGGGTGTCATGACGACCTAAAGACGCCGCCACCAGAAACTCGCTCATGTGAAAAAGCACCGGTATACACAGGATGTAAACGCCGGCCGCGTACTCCTCGACGCTTCCGGTGTACCAAAGGCTGTGGCATATCAAAACCAAAGCAAACATGAAACAAGCCCCGAGAAAAAACCCAGTAAGTGCAGTCTCACGCATCAAATTGCGTTCCGGTCCCCGTTCTGTGCTCATCTCCTGGTCATGCACGTGGATATTTATCCTACTCTTGATAATAATAATAATAATAAAAAGAGCGTGTCTCTGTTGTGCATGTGAAAAACAAAAAAAAATGATAAATATAATACCCATTCAAACACAGACACACAAAGGCACACGCGAGACGCCGTATGTTCTTTATTATTATTATTATTATTTTTCTTTTTTGGTTTACAACCACAATCAATCAATGATCATCAGAGATCAAAAAAGAATGAAAATTTCACTGCAGCGCTTCAACAAAAATATACAAAACGCATCGATGGCTGCTACTACGCTCATCCCAATGACAACTACTCTCACCAATAAATCACTTCCTGATGAGTTCACTCTCTCGCGTTTGAAAAAAAAAAAAATAATAATAATAAATAAACAAATAAATAATAATCAAGGAAAAAACGCTACTAAAAACAAATATATATATATATATACAAGTTCCCCATCATCCCCCCAATTTTTCTCCACAATAGACCTGCTATCCTACAATGTATCCCCTGTTTCTAAACCAAACCCCCGGCAACATGACAATTTAAAAAACAACAAAACCAAATTGAAAAAACAGCAACAAAATACACATGTAAATACGCGAGCTGGCTTTTGTTCTCTCCCCTTTCAGTTTTTTTATTATTATTAGTTTCTCCATTCATCATGATCGTTGCCTTTGCTAGCGCGCCCAAAGGCCCACTGTCCCCTATAGTATTCCTCCACTAGTTCATCTGAGTAGTCATGTACGCCGCAGAATGGCATATACAACGGCATTCCCTTGTTGATCACCCAACGTGAATAACCAGCCTCCTCTAAAGCACGTCGCTCCGGGTTTACTAACAAGCCAGGTGCAGACACCCACATGGGATCACGTGAGAAGACTTCACCTGCATTGATGGGGGAGAATTCATCGTACTTAATGTTGAACGGCAATGCCATACCGAGCCGGGAGTTGTGGCCCCATTCACCCCTTGCTTTTACTTGTGCGGGGGTATGGGCAGCATTGCCTTGCATCCACTTCAACCACATGGGTGAGGCGGTGTGTGGCGCTTGTCCACGAAACCAGTGGGGATCCACGGGTTCAACCATGCGGACGATAAAGTTTCCCTGAGAGCGACGAGCAAGCCAGTACTTGTTTCCGTTCTCATCTTTACCGACAAAAATCTTCTCATCCTTTCGGCGCCACGGTTCGCCAATGTAATAATGCCGTCGTAAAGCACCCCAAAGCCCAAACATACGGAAATCATGGATAATCCAGCGCAACCTATTCCACGTGAAGGAGTCCTTCCACGGCACATCACTCTGTCGGTGATGATGGCGAGGGAAGGGATGGGGGTCATCATGACACTTGGTGTACACAAAATTTTTTGTTCCACAAAGGGATGCGGCAGCTGCCATCTGGCCGTACTTCTGCGCCATGGGATTCGTGCCGATCCCGCCGTAAGTGAAAATACTTGTCATGCGTGGCGTTAGCGTACGTAAACAGGTGGGGTGGCTTCAACAGCAACTAGCAAAAAAAAAAAAAAATAATACTGTATATTGCAGACAAGTCCTTTCCTCTCACGGTGCCTCGTCCGTTCCTATGAATCTTGCGGATCAGCACCTTGGCGCCGGTAGTAGTGACAAAACGGAATCACAGAAAACAAACAAAAAAATTAGGATAAAAACAGCTACATATTCGTAGGCACTGCTACCGTGATTTGGTAGAGGGTAACGCCTGGGACAATCTCACAGGAGGATGGGTGGAAGATAAACAAGTGTATGATGTTGGGGAGAAACAGCCCCAGTTAATCGTTCCTCTCTTTTACTTTAATTTGGCCCCCACACACACGTGGAGCAACAAGCGACGCGCCCACCAACTCGCATGCCCGCGAAATCATCTCTCACGCTCTCTTCCTCTCCTCTTTCCATTTTACGCCTTGCACGCCTCTCCAAACTGTTCATCATTCCCTTCCACGCTTTCTGGAATAAAGGGATTCAACAATTTTTCGTTCCTCCACCGCTGGAGTGACGTCACACACTGAGAGAGGCTTGTTGCAGCCTGGGCACAGAAGCGGTGTCCCTTCCGCATCCTCGCGGCCAATCAATTCTTCCACCCTCTCGTTAAAGCAAGTTTCACATAACAGGGTCGCACAACAGGGTGCTTTCATCGCATTCTTTGCCAGCACCTTATCCCAGCCACACAACAGTTTGGATTCCTCCGTGGCCTTCGCATCCTCACCGTCAACAATGCCCTTGCTATGGCCGTCTGTACTACTCTTTAATCTTGTGACGGACTCCCTTTGCAAATCTGCCACATCGGCGGCGGCTGTCACGACACCAGTGAAGCTCGCATTGTCTAGCCGTCGTTTCACCAAACGACCATCACGTGTCACAAATTTTGCTGCCGGATCGTCCATCGTGCACTCTACCAGCATGGTCTCCGGAATACCAGTTGGAAGTGACAACAACTTCAGTCCCTTCGTCCCCTTTGCCGCTGGGCAATGTTGAATGAGATGTCCTCGCTTGCCACAGTTGTGGCAAATATAATTTGGCGGTGGTGGAATAAATGAGCTCTCGCGACCCCCAATTGCGTTTCCCATCGGGCGGTTGCGCGTCTGACGTGTCCTCCAACCACCCACTTCATCAATACCCGTTTCCGCAGCCACGGCCTCACTCAGCTGCGCAAGGCGTTCCTCCTCTGTTAATGGAGCTGAAGCAGTCCCTTCTTTGGCGCCCATTCTCGTCAGGGAACGTTGGTGTGATGAGTTACCGGCTGGCGCCTCACGTTCGCGCCTTGGAGGAGGTCTACCAGAAGCAACATGCCTTACCACCTCCACAACGGTGTACGCTGGAAGTTCCTCCTCGGGATGTAAATAATCCGAGCTCCCTGAAATAAAGATGTCTATTTCTTCTGGAGAACCACTCAACTGCGTTGCAATCGCCTCCTTAATCTCACGACATGATATCATACGGTGGGGAACATCAATAATCCCGACATGATTGCTAGAACGAAGCTTGAATGTAATCGTTGCCACCATAATTAAATTCTTCAACTAAATTCTCTAATCTCTAAGACTTCCTCAGTCAGCAACAACAATAATAATAATAATATTAATATTACTAATGCCTCCTGTTGGGTAAGATGACCGTACTAACGCTCCCTATGGTTTATCCTTTTTATTCTTCTTCCTTTTCTTGCCTTTCCGAGTGGAAGTGCACTCTGCGGTCCCTCTCTCTGCCAAACCACACCCACGTACCGTCTCTTCGTGATTCATCCAAAAAGAATAAACCACGACGCGTTCCGCAGCCCACCCCAAAAAAACAGGGTCAAAAAGAAGGAATAAAAGGCAACAGTTCAACTAAAAATCCCACCAAAAGTGAAAATAAACCACAAAATTACATTTATAAATGAGGTTCACTACATGAAACCATCATTCCTTCTCGTTTTTTTTTTTTTCGTTTCCTTTTCAGAACAAACGAGGAGGAACGCAAGTTTCACTTGCCGATACAGTCACGGCTTACACAGAGATGTTGTTGTGATTGTTATGCTGGATTATCTCCTGCGAGGACATCATCACGGGGAATTGTGGCTCCCCGGAAACAATGAGTTGACTGCTTCAGATCACTTGCACTGAAGGGGAAACGGTACGCAAATGACACCGTACATCTTTTCCATCCAATGGCTGTTCCGAGCTGCGTGCTCCTCCCATAATGAATAAGAGGGGATAATTGCCTTCAACGTGCTTTGCGTGGTTTCTTTGCTGGAACAGGCAGTGATGCTTTTGTGTGGACGCGTTGATGCAGCGGGAATTAAATCATCCATGACGACATCTTTCTGCGTCCTCAATCCACAATTAAAAGAAAAAAAAAACTAGAAAAGTATAAATATGGCCCAAAACAAGGCTCCAACTTTTGGTGACACTGGATCGAAAGCTAAAAGCAGACAAGAATCAACAAAAACAAACAAAAAAAAAAGATAAGAATGAAATGACATTCGCTCACAAAGATTAAAGGAGAAAAAGATGATGAAAGGTGTGCCGAGAAATAACAGAAGGAGAGAGAGATAGTGAAAAGGAGGGAGGGAGGCTATCAGCACATACATGGAGGCATGCATGTACATGCTTCTGCCTGAATAAAAATAATGGAACTTCCAATAATCCCAATATTAATAACAGTAATAATCTCAAACAACAAAAAATCCCTCTTTCTTTTATTTGATGCCTTCCCATACGTTGTTGCAGGGGAAAAATAATCGGCCACCACGCCAACTCCCGCGGAAACCCAAAATATAAGGCATCACCAAGGCGGTTCTTTTCCCCTCCCTTTTTTTTTTTTTCTTTAAATTTCCTTCAAATAACAAAAACAACAACAACAAAAACGAAACATTTCTCAGCGTATTCTTCACTCTTATTGTCTTAAACCGCCCCAATAAGCTACTCGCTCTGCATATCATCCACTCCCTTTCTACCCTTTTTTCTCCTTTTCTTTTCTTATTGCGTCTGTCTTCCTCATTTCGAATTCTGAAATCTTCTGTCAATCCAACAAGTTATTTATTGAGTGATGCGGAGACGGATCATGGCCGTCTCAACATCGGCCTCATCCACACTTGTGTCCCCGTCATCCAACGATACCGTTACGGAAAGCTCGCAAAACTGTGTGCGGTTCTGCCAAAATGGCTGCGAGAGTTTTCCGCCCGCCTCTGTCATCTTCTGTTGCTCAATCAATTGCATCAGCGAAAGGTTTGTGTTTGCGTGTTTCTTCGACCCGTTCCACAACATGCCGTGGCCAACACCAATACCAACGATCTCACACGACCCCTCTGTGCCTGCTGGTAGGAAGGCATTCAGTTGATTCTCCAGCATTGTGGCAAATTGCTGCACGGTCGTGTGTATCGTAATGGGAACATCAATCGAGTCATACTTCGTGAAGCCATCTGGCACACGGATAAGCTTCTTCTTGTACGTGTAGTCCTGTTCTGGGAGGTATGTGCTGACAATTTTGGTTCGGTTCTTAATGGGGGCGTCACGCTCAAAAAGGACGTAATTGTTTGTGCCAACATCAATCATTCCGTTGCGAAGACACGAGATGTCATTTCCTTGAAGAGCCTTAAAGTACTCAATAAGGGCAAGGCCTGTCACCGCAGATGTCGTTGTTGCAATGGCTGGAATGATTTTTCCCGCAACCAACTTGACCTTCATCCGGTCTTGCGTCGGAATGTCATAGTTTGACGCGCGAAGATTACTTGCGGCAGTCACAAAATCAATGTGAAAGTTATCATCATCATCCTTCTCAA